TAAACCCAACTACCTAGTCCTATTCAGATTCAAGGTTAAAGTTCTCTTTTCTTCATCCTTACTCCTTAAACCCAACTACCTAGTCCTATTCAGATTCAAGGTTCAAGGTTCAAATTCTCTTTATCTTCATCCTTACTCTTAAACCCAACTACCTAGTCCTATTCAGATTCAAGGTTAAAGTTCTCTTTATCTTCATCCTTACTCCTAAACCCGACTACCTAGTCCTATTCAGATTCAAGGTTAAAATTCTCTTTATCTTCATCCTTACTCCTAAACATAACTACCTAGTCGTATTCAGAATCAAGGTTAAAATTCTTTTTATCTTCATCCTTAATCCTAAACCCAACTACCTAGTCCTATTCAGATTCATGGTTAAAGTTCTCTTTATCTTCATCCTTACTCCTAAACCCAACTACCTAGTCCTATTCAGATTCAAGGTTAAAGTTCTTTTTTTTCTTCATCCTTAATCCTTAAACCCAACTACCAAGTCCTATTCAGATTTATCGTTAAAGTTCTCTTTATCTTCATCCTTACTCCTAAACCTAACTACCTAGTCCAATTCAGATTCAAGGTTAAAGTTCTCTTTATCTTCATTCTTACTCCTAAACCCAACTACCAAGTCCTATTCAGATTCAAGGTTAAAATTCTCTTTATCTTCGTCCTTACTCCTAAACCCAACTACCTAGTCCTATTCAGAATTAAGGTTAAAATTCTTTTTATCTTCATCCTTAATCCTAAACCCAACTACCTAGTCCTATTCAGATTCATGGTTAAAATTCTCTTTATCTTCATCCTTACTCCTAAACCAAACTAGACCTAGTCCTATTTAGATTCTAGGTTGAAGTTCTCTTTATCTTCATAATTACTCATCAACCTAACTACCTAGTCCTATTCAGATTCAAGGTTAAATTTCTCTTTATCTTCATCCTTAAACCTTAAACCCAACTACCTAGTCATATTCAGATTCAAGGTTCATGGTTAAAGTTCTCTTTATCTTCATCCTTACTCCTAAACCTAACTACCTAGTCCTATTCAGATTCATGGTTAAAGTTCTCTTTATCTTCATCCTTTCTCCTAAACCCAACTACCTAGTCCAATTCAGATTCAAGGTTCATGGTTAAAGTTAAATTTATCTTCATCCTTAATCCTTAAACCCAACTACCTAGTCCTATTCAGATTCATGGTTAAAGTTCTCTTTATCTTCATCCTTACTCCTAAACCCAACTACCTAGTCCTATTCAGATTCAAGGTTAAAGTAATTTTTTTC